TTTCCCCCCCATAGTGGGATAAATATTTTTTAAAATAAGGGCCCCCCCCCCCCCCCCCCCCCCCCCCCCATGTGGCTATCCCGCGATGGCATCTCAGGTGTCGGGGTACAAGGTGGGACAGTGCGTCCAGTGGCTGACGGAGACGGTAGGGATGACGAAGGACCAAGTGGCGAAGCTCGTTCTGGCACACCCGCCGATGGTGAGCGGTTTGACAAGATACCATCGGTATCCCGCAGTGTTTAACCGTATGACGCCGCAAGAGGGAGCGAGATGGTACCCTAGACCGACTTTCCAAGCTCGATTGCTCCAAAACCGAAAGATTGTCTGTACCGTACCGTATCCCGTACCGTGGTATTCCGTAAGAGGCGGCGAGATGGCACGCCCCCCAGAGCGACTTTCAAAGCTCCATTGCTCCACAACCATGTGGGTGCGGAAAGAGCCCGATCATGCTACGGAAAGCCCTGGAAGAGATGTTTCCAGCACCGCCATCATTGGTGTTTGCACAACGTTGGTTGCGGAGCAATGGGGCTTTGAAAATCGGTCTAGGGCAGGGTGCCATCTCTTCGCCTGTTATGGTAACCTCGGTAACCTTGTGTTCTCGGGCGATTTTCTGACCGTTCGTTGGTTGCCCCGCTGCGTGTTTTGTTTGAGCAACGTCCGGGTGGTGCGCTGGATAGAGGACGTTGTTCCCCGCCGGGTATGCTGTAAGATATTGTCGGCAATATTTGACACCGAAGAAGGTTGCCTACGTGAGCCGCGATTCACGGAGCCCCTTCGTGGAGGCGTGTAGGCCGTCTTATCATAAGGGCGGTGGTCTTATCTCGAATGGGTAGTCTTTCTGCTTTTGTATTTATGTTTCCAAATGAGGGCTGCTTGTTGTCAAGGTGCCTACCGTATAGGTTGATTTTGATCGAGACGCCTGCTGTAGCCGAACAAACGCCCCGCGAGAGGTGTTAAGAGTTCGGCCCCCGCGCGGGGGTATTTTGGTTGCCGCTGCAGCTGTAGGCGCCGTGGGGCGGTGGTGACTCTCGTTGGTGACGTTCGTTGTAGCGGCACTGCCTCGGCGTGTGTTTACGGTGAAGCGGCGATTGGTTTTGAACGGTGGAACTTGTAACGCTAGCTGGCCCAATCTTTGGTGGAACAGTTCCTGACGCGGCAAGCCGGTCGATGAACGTGCCGTTGCTTCCGTGTTGCACGTTTTGTGCCTATGTCCCCGGTGCGGTGTCCATGCTTGTGGTGGTCTCTGCATGGCCTCAGTGATGCGCTTGGCTGGGTTGGCTGGAAAAAGCAGCGTGGGCGGGGAAAATAACCGCTGGACGAAAATCACACGTCCGTAGCAGGCACCTTGGGGACTTACTTTTCGAGATCGAGGGACCGATGTTGGTGGTGGTCTCTCTCGTCATGAAGATTGTTTTTTGCAATCTGTTCTGAAGCATGCTTGCGTTAATTCTTGTGAATTTTTGCTCTGGCCGAAGGACCACATGATTCCAACCACTGCTGCGCTGTAGCAATGCTGTTCGCTCAAACGGCGTCATCTTCATTGCTTATGCTCACATGCCATATGTTTGTTCCCCCCGCCCCACCCCCC